CCTCTGCCGCCGCGCCCGGGGCGGCCCAGATCTCCGAAGTTGATCTCCAGCTGGGATGTGATGTCGTTCGCTGGCTTGCGGAAGTGGTGATCCATGACCGAGTCCTCAGCATGAGCCTGAAACCAGGGGGGCTCCATCAGTAAACAAAGTCACCAAAGACACCTCTCCTGCAGCTGTAGGTGCTCTCCTGCCACCTCAGCCTGTGACACTTCCATGGCACTCACAGCTCGTCACCAACTCCCTTGAAGGACTCAAAAAGTTTGACATTTCTTATCAGAAATCAGGTTACATCACTTGAGCAGACAAAACCCACACAGGGATCAGACTAGTACTTGAGCAAAGCTGTTTCACATTTGCAAGATCATTTGGGAGTTCACAAAATGATTAAGGTTGGAAAAGACCTCCAAGACCATCGAGTCCAAGCAGTGACCCATCACCATCTTTGTCAGCTAGAGCAGAGCACTGAGTGCACACCCAGCTGTTCCCTGAACACCTCCAGGGATGGTGACTCCATCACCTCCCTGGGCACATCACAAAATTCCTCTCGGAATTCCATTAGAGGAACATGCCTAGGCTTATCCAAGCCCAAATCATCACCAAGTCAGTATAGAACCTCATGTTCAGCAATTCTCTTCTCACTTTGTACCCTGAAAAATGTTGTGGTTCTATCCATTTGTCAATACGTGGTCACTCATCCTTATTTTACTCCCTGAGGATTTACTTAACCCTGGATAAGTATTTAAAATGAGGGAGCTGGTAAGGATCCCTCACAGGTAACAAACAGCAAATGAGGCATAAAGAGCTTCCAACACACATAACTAAAGGAGCTAAAACAGAGAACTGCCTCACCCAGCACATCAAAAATATGGCTCTCAGCACCTGTGCCATGATAGAATATTCCCCAACTGGTTTGTTCCCAGTGCATCCAGGGGGAATGCTGAGCCTTGAGGAGCAAGGGATGCTCCCAAGAGTTACACCAGACATCTGGGTGTTTCAATTACATGCTGAACTCAAGTAAGTATTTTTAAGACAATTGTTTCTCCTATCCTGTGCAATTTTTCCAGGCCTAAGCCTGGCACTTAGGATGATATAACAAATGTAACCCCCCCCTTATTGTAAGGCCAAACCATCATGTTTTGTAAACATAACACAACATTCTCTTTCGCTCCAAGCCCCCAACTCCTGCCACAGCAATTACGCCACGGGTACAGCAGTGCCAAGCTCAAGCCTAGCCTCTCCAAGTGACTTTTCTGGTGGAGTTACCCAATATGCTGGCTTTCAAAGGCAAAACATTGTGCAATTAAGCGTTCTACTCTTTAATTACCATTTGTGGAGCCTTCACAAGGCTGCCAAGGGATACACAGAGGTCTGGAGGCAAAGCTGCTTTCAGGGATTCTGTGAGTCAGTCACAGGCAACAGCATGGACAGGGCCACACTCCAAGTGACTTTTCTGGTGGAGTTACCCAATATGCTGGCTTTCAAAGGCAAAACATTGTGCAATTAAGCGTTCTACTCTTTAATTACCATTTGTGGAGCCTTCACAAGGCTGCCAAGGGATACACAGAGGTCTGGAGGCAAAGCTGCTTTCAGGGATTCTGTGAGTCAGTCACAGGCAACAGCATGGACAGGGCCACAGTGACCTTTCCCCACTCCCAATATCATCCCCTCTTCCTGCCCAGCTCTAGGTTAGCCTCTACAACATCTTGCAGTGCATTCATAGAATCATCACGGAATAGTCTGAGTTAGAAAGGAACTTAAAGCTCCACTATTCCCACTCTTCTGCCATAGGCAGGCACACCTTCCACCAGCCCAGGTTGCTCCAAGCTCCATCCAACCTGGCCTGGAACACTTGCAACCTGTGCCAGTGCCTCAGCACTCTCACAGGGAGGAATTCCTTCCCAATATCCCATCTAGCCCTGCTCTCTGGCAGTGGGAAGCTATTCCCCCTTGTCCTGGCACTACATGCTCTTATAAACAGTCTCTCCTCAATTTCATTAGGGACAATGAGACATTCCCTGCATGCTGCTTTATTTCCAACACATTCCATTGGGTATGTTCCACATAACTGGTCCCCATCACACTCCTGATTTTTGGACAGATTTTGCAATTTGAACTGTACACCTTTCCCTTGGAGATGTCTCTTCCCAGCTTAGTCTGAGCAGAGAAAAGTCATTCCACACCTCAGCCTGATGTGGCACTACTCAAAACTAAGTGACAACACTCTGTAAAACACTACTCAACACCTTTGCTTAGGGTTTTGTTACTGCTTAGTATTTATCTGCAGTTTTAATCCCTGCAGGGTACTGAGATTCTATTTCCAACCATTGTAGCCACGTGACACTGCCTTTTTAAAGTCATATTATCAGTGGATTTGCACAATAATTATGTGCATTTCCTTCCCTACA